CCGTGTTACATTTACTTAGTGATGATACAATAATGGTCTGTGGAACACAACGTCTTGGTTGGGTGTGGACTGTATTGATGTAATGAAACACTTGTTGTATTTCACTTTTCGAATTGATGTTCTTTGATAAAACACTTTGATAAAACTCACTTCGATAAACTATCTTGATAATACTGATTGATTGACTTCCATATACTGACTGAATTACATGTCGGTTTACATGTCTCTTATATAGTAAAATGAACCTGTGTGAACCTGTTTTGGAAGATTCTAGATGCTTCTTTTCAATGTTTCTGGAAGCTTCTGGCTGCGTCTGAATGTTTTTGGATACTTCTGGATGCTTCTCCTGGAAACTTCTGGATACTTCCTTTAATTATTAAAAAACTTCCGTGACGTTGACACGAACCAGACTTAAGAAAATGAAACAAACCAAAAGAGTTGCACTTGTTTTGTCCGCTGCAAAATGGCACAACGAAATTCTGCCTGCGTGCTGTCACCTGTCAGCTGATTGCACATGTCATGACATGCCAGACTCCTGAACTGTTTGCTGTGGTAGTATAGTTCGTTTCGTTTTTAAGACATGTAAAATTAGGAACGCTTTTTAACATAGTTCGATGTTGGTTGCAAATGTTTTGTCCAATACTGTATATGCTAAATATTTTACAACAACAGTTTATTCAATAAAACGTACAAAAAAATGCAGCAATTTTTTTTTTACAACATTAATTTTATATATACAACTTTACAAATAAACGTAAAAACAAATTCAAAAAAGCCCTAAATTATAAATAGGTAAATTATAACATTCAAAACAGATCCGGGAGAAGTTAGGTATCAATAAAAACAAACAAAAGCTGAATTTATTTTGCTTTGTTTTTAATTTTCCCATATCGTCTGTGTAGGTATAGCACGGTTCCCGTTTAAAATCCGAGATAATTACGCTTATTTGGTAACTTAGCAGAAAGTGCAAAACTTAGCAGAAATAGCTTTTTTGATAAGTGATTATAAAAATATATTACATAATAAAAAATTTAGACCAAATTTGCGAATACTCAAATATAACCTACTGGTAAAATGTTATCAATATAAGGCAGACTTATGTAATAAAAATATTTCGCTTTTAAAGATAATTTCTGATAGCAGAGGAACTTAGGGCTATGAAGAAAGTTTTTGATTGTGACTTAGTAATGTGCAAAATTCAATGTGATTACATAACAACTTATCGACATTACTGAATGAGACTACTACGACATCTACTCCAAATTTAGGTTTTAAAGCGTTAAACAATTGTTTATTATTAAGAAATATTTAATTTAAGAATTCAATTTTATTATATTTATTTCATCATAAAAATCTCTGTCGAATGTGATTAACAGACGCTGGAATCTATGCCATATAATAAAAAGTCTATTTTATACAATGTTGGAAATTTTCTAATTTTTGTAGAAAACAAAAAAAAAAAGCAATATAAAAACACAAATAAAAATGAAACATTAGTAGAAAGATTATTTGAATTTCTATTTTAAACAATTTTTTCATTATTCTTTAGAAAGGAACTTCGACATGAACTTAACCGTCCCTCAATTTCTTGTAGTTCGCTCATTAATGCTATATAAGTTTTGTCGTTTTGAAATTGTTTTTTTGGTTCGTACGTCAATGTTTCTGGCAAATCATAAACAGTGCTATCAGCAGCTACTTGCTTTATTTTAGTTTTTGGACATCGTTCTTTACGATCTTTTTTTTTAATAAGTGCTTTTTCCACACGCAGTAATTCCCGAACAATATCTACACGCGATTCGTATGCGTTATTTTGGGGATTTAAGTTATGGATAAAATCCCGAACTTCGCGTGCATTTTTATCCATAGTTTCAAAGTCTGTGTTCTTTGAACTTTCATTTTCAAGCAAAGTTTTGTCGTAAATTTTTTCTTCTGAAGGTATCATCAAAGGAAGATTATATCGCTTCGAAATACTTGCAAACAGCGATTCTATTTTCTTTTCAGTTTCTCGTAAATCTATCACGTGTGTTAAATCATGATGAGAATTGCTATTCAAATTGTTCGAATGATTTCGTTTTCTTTTTTTCTTTGATTTGTGTTTTTTAGCCTTCTTTTTATGAGTTCGATCTGATTTACGTTCGGTTTTATGAGTTCGCTCTAACTTGTGTTCCGTTTTCTTTTTTTTTGAATGGGTTTTAGTACTTTCATCACCAATTAAAATATCTTCATTTATCAATGTTTTATCCGGGCAAGATATTATATTAGAGTTTCCTAAATCCAGACATTTCTCATTACCGATATCACAATCGTCACGATTGTCATGTTTACGTTTTCGGGAATGGTGATTAGATTTTTTTTTTTTTTTATGTTTACTGTCATGAGAACTATGATGATTATCTTCTTTTTTTTTCTTTTTGTGGATATGTGTTAATGATTCTGCATCTTCGTTGTCCAGACGTTTTCTTTTGTGTTTACGGGTTTCTAAAAGTTCATCGTCAAAATGTTTTCGATGTCTCTTCTTATGTCTATGTTTTGAGTGCTTTTTTTTGTATTTTTTATGTTTTTGATTTTGATCGTCTAAATGTTCTTTGATCTCACCATCATCGATAACAATCTCACGAATATCATTACTGAGATTGTCACCATCATCGATAATCTCACGAATATCATTACTGAGATTGTCACGGACATTGTTAGTAACCTGATGGCCACTACTAATATCCTTGTCGCCGAAATCGTTCACAGCCTCCTCGTTACCACCATCAATAACTCTTTCGGTATCAATGTCATCATTATCAACACAACTAACTGATTCTGTAATATTTTCTTTAGACCTAAAATAGAATACTGAGCGCTAAATAATGTCATATAAAATGAATTTAACCCCTTAATCTGTAGGATGTCTCTTAGTAACTATGCTCCTTAATCTGCACTATATAATAAAATAACACTGAAATTTAAAAACTTTTTTCAAAATATTTTTAGGGCTGCTTCAAAAATTTTGAACATTTAACGGGTCCTTAATATTAATAAAAAAAAAAATTTTAAGTGTCTTATTGGATTTTAATTAAACTCTCAAACTGAAAATTTATAATAATTTCAAAAATATTAACCATTTTTTAAAAAAAAATTGAAAAAAAATTATAATTAAAAATTCTTGTAAAAATGCACTTTTTCATTTTTAGTAAAAAAATATCATTTTCTTAGCAACAAAATCTAAAATAATATCTTTTTTTGAAAAAAATGATGAATATTTTTGAAATTTTTTAAATAATTTAATTTAATTTTTTGTTTAACAATATAAGTGACCCAATAAATGTTCAAGGGTCTTGAGGTTTAAAAATATTTTTTATTAAAAAACTCTTTAAATTCTTGTTTAATCATATAGTAGCAAAATTTCGGTCTTGCTTCGTTTACAGTATATATTATATACACAAAAATATATATTTTTAATATAAGATTATATAGTCAGGCTGTCAAGCAACAACATTATGAAAAAATGAAAAAAAAAAGACGGTATTTTGAGGGGGAAAATGGAAAAAAATGACAAAATTCATTAAAAAAATGACAAGTTCAACAAATATTTTTAAAAACAAAATAAATCAGAAATCATCGAAAATTTCTAAAAATAAATTAACATAATAGCGCAAACACAAATTTGCAACACCAAATAAGCAACACCAAATAAGATTCAAAATAAACAATTCACAACAACTTTTTTTTAAAATAATACTGTGATTTTTTGAAAAGATTAATTAAACTATCCATTTTACTTTTCCATTTTAAACCAATATTTACTCAACTTTTTTTGTTCATTTCTATCCGCTGTAGCATTATCAAGATTTTTGTCGCTTCATTATTCTCTGAGCAAGTTGAAACTCTAGATCTGCATTTTTCTATTTATTTTATTTATTATATATAATATTTTCATTTTTTAGATTTTTTTCCCTTTGATCTAGATTTTTGTTGTGTTTTTTTTTTAAACTTTTTTAAGCATTCCTTTGATTTTTTTTTCTTTATCAATAAGCTCTTGCTTATGAATATCATTTATTTTTTCTTTTTCTTCCTCAACTTTTCTTTTTATATTTTCTGGGAGCATTTTGCACTGATTGAACAACATCTTTAGAGAAAGCATTAACATTAAATGCTCGATTGCAACTTCTTGTGCATTCCTTTGATATTCTCAGAGCCATTAATGTTTCATCATTCAGTTTTACTTGCTCTGAAGTCAGTTTATTTTCATTATCAAATAAACTTTGCTCTGTACTAGTGTTTCCATTCTGATTAGTTAAACAGCTCTTTTCTGAGATAAAGATACTTAGTTTTTTTTGTCACTTTTATAAACCTTAGTCCATCATTTATTGTCAATTTCTTGTCACTTTTACAAACCTTAGTCCATCATTTATTGTCAATTCCTTGTCACTTTTACAAACCTTAGTCCATCATTTATTGTCAATTCCTTGTCGCTTTTACAAATCTTAGTCCATCATTTATTGTCAATTCCTTGTCACTTTTACAAACCTTAGTCCATCATTTATTTTCAGTTCCTTGTCACTTTTACAAACCTTAGTCCATCATTTATTGTCAATTCCTTGTCACTTTTACAAACCTTAGTCCATCATTTATTTTCAATTCCTTGTCACTTTTACAAACCTTGGTCCATCATTTATTGTCAATTCCTTGTCACTTTTACAAATCTTAGTCCATCATTTATTGTCAATTCCTTGTCACTTTTACAAACCTTAGTCCATCATTTATTGTCAATTCCTTGTCGCTTTTACAAATCTTAGTCCATCATTTATTGTCAATTCCTTGTCACTTTTACAAACCTTAGTCCATCATTTATTTTCAGTTCCTTGTCACTTTTACAAACCTTAGTCCATCATTTATTGTCAATTCCTTGTCCCTTTTACAAATCTTACTCCATCATTTATTGTCAATTCCTTGTCACTTTTACAAACCTTGGTCCATCATTTATTGTCAATTCCTTGTCACTTTTACAAATCTTAGTCCATCATTTATTGTCTTCCTTGTCGCTTTTACAAACCTTAGTCCATCATTTATTGTCAATTCCTTGTCGCTTTTACAAATCTTAGTCCATCATTTATTGTCAATTCCTTGTCGCTTTTACAAATCTTAGTCCATCATTTATTGTCAATTCCTTGTCGCTTTTACAAATCTTAGTGCAGTAATAGTCAATTCTTTTTGATTTTTTTGTATCAGAATCTGAATACCAGTTTTTTGAGATATTAATTGCTTGATACAATTTCCATTCATCTTTCACAAATGATACCAATACAAAAATGAAGATAAAATTCTCATGAAAAAATTAATAATTAAATCTAAAGGAAAACAAAATTAATTATGCTTTGTTTGCTGTGTTGCAGTTGTTTCATCAAATATTAAAGTAAAAGCACTCTGGCTTATTGATAGAACTTAAGTCTTTACCTTATACTGTGACTGTTCTAAATTGGTGCAAAAGATTTTTTTTTTTGTTTTTTTTTCCTTGAACTTTTATTTTACCTCACCTTAAGATAAAGCTGAATTATTTGCTAAGAACTTTTTATCAATATCATCTCTTGATTCCACTAGATGCATTCTACCTAATATAGTCAATAAACAGGTTATTGAGAACGTTTCTCCAACAAAAGTTCCAGGCAATCTTGAAATATATATGAAGCTTTTTGTATACTCATACTGAAACCTTGACTTACTATACTATCTGGAAACACTCTTTGAAATAATAATGATGTATTACCACAATGTTTTAAAGCAAGATTGTTTTTAGCTACTTTAAACAACTTCATAGTTTCTGCAGATGAAATTTATTTTTATAGAATACTCTAATTGTACTGCATTCTCTTCCAATAGAGTTTTTATTTAAATCTACATATAAATGGGGATTTTTGAAAATCTAACATCAGAAACTAATTAATGTTTAGGTTTTGTAGAATGCAGATAAAGTGTTTGAAAATCAATTAAACTGTGTTTCAAATCACTAAAATAGTTTACAGACTGCAATCACTAAAATAGTTTACAGACTGCAATCACTAAAATAGTTTACAGACTGCAATCACTAAAATAGTTTACAGACTGCAATCACTAAAATAGTTTACAGACTGCAATCACTAAAATAGTTTACAGACTGCAATCACTAAAATAGTTTACAGACTGCAATCACTAAAATAGTTTACAGACTGCAATCACTAAAATAGTTTACAGACTGCAATCACTAAAATAGTTTACAGACTGCAATCACTAAAATAGTTTACAGACTGCAATCACTAAAATAGTTTACAGACTGCATAATCAGAGTTTTTTTCTCATAGTTTAATTTTTACTTGATTTTTATCAAACTTTTCCTGCCAAACCTCATTCCATTAAACCATTATAGCTTTGACCTATCTACTGAATAATATAGACACATCTATTGCTAAGTATACTTAAAATTCAAAATAGATACTAGTAACTTTACAAATACTAAAAATTTTATTCAAAATTTAGTTCTCAATTCAGTGTATCAACCAATAAAAATAATAAAAACAATTTAATAATTCGAAAAATTACAATATTTAAATAAAACTTATAAAAAAAAAATATTGTAAGAGAATATTATTGTAAGTAAAACTCAATTAAATACTTTAAAAAAAAATTAATAGAAAAAATTCAAAAAAAAATTAAAAAATGACAAAAACTAACAAAAAAATTTTAAAAAATAAATTAAAAAAAGACCCGGAAAAAAATTTAAAAAATGACAACTTGACAGCCTGTATATATATGTACATAATATTGATATATATAAACCCATTTTATAATAAGTTAGACATTTTCAAAAAGTCTGACATAACAAGAGCTTCCCTTAATTTAGACATTTGATAAGTCAGACATTATACAAATATCCCATTAGAGTCCAAGTTAACAAGATTCTACTCTGTGTGTGTGTTTGTGTGTGTGCATATATATATATATATATATATATATATATATATATATATATATATATATATATATATATATATATATATATATATATATATATATATGTGTGTATATATATATATATATATATATATATAAATATATATATATGTGTGTATATATATATATATATATATATATATACATATATATATATATATAAATATATATATATATATATATATATATATATATATATATATAAATATATATATATATATATATAAATATATATATATATATATATATATATATATATATATATATATATATATATATATATATATATATATATATATATATATATATATACACTTACTAAAGCGTGTTTTGATAAGCATTTTCTCATTTTTTGTGCTTACTTTAAGGTAAACCGTTTTTTTCGAAAAAGAAGAAGAAAAAAACGAAGAATGATAAATAAAACGATTGCTTCCCCATCCCAAACCCTCAGTCGATGTAGCAGCACTCCACTGTGAGTCAGGCTATTTGTCAGTCGTTGTATGTACTGAAGCCCCCAGCAATCGGCTATTTCAGTATGACGTCAGATTGCTTACCAAAGTACGTAATACTATTTGTATATATATATATATATATATATATATATATATATATATATATATATATATAAATATATATACAAGCTAACATTAATTTTTGTCATGGTCCGCAAATTCATAACATTGAAAGCTAATATATATATTTTTTTCTAAATTTATTTATTCATAACATTGAAAGCCAATATTTTTTTTTGAAAACTGTTTTTCTAAAAGAAAAATAACTTCAAAATAGGGACTCTCTAATGTTCTAGGAGATTGAGATATAAATAATATAAATAAATGTTCCTGAGATTGCTGCGTTAGCCCAACTAATAAAACAAGTATATAAACTTTTTAAAAAAAGGTAGAAAATTTTTCCTCAGAGTAGGATATTTAATACATAATATATATAGAAAGGTATAATTTTTTATCTTTAAGGCAGAAAATTGAATGGCAAATCATTATTTTTGATATAACTTTCTACCTTGGAAATATATATATATATATATATATATATATATATATATATATATATATATATATATATATATATATATATATATATATATATATATATATTTTAGGTTGACCGGAAAGTAATGTCGTTTTTGCGCATGTTGACATTAGATAATCGTTGGCCAGTTTATTGTGTATCTCGAACACGTGCACAGGTTATTTTTATATTAGTGTGACTTGTTTACTTCTAAATTATTTAAAATTAAATAGTTTTCTTTGCGAATTGGAGTGAAATGGCATACGAAATACAGGAAGTGCATATTCGTCATTGTATGCTTTTTGAATTTCGCAAGGGTAATAACGCTACAGTTGTGACTAAGAACATTAGTGATGTTTACCCAGGTTCATTAGATGTTCGCAAATGCCAAAGATGGTTTTCCAAGTTTAGATCTGGGAATTTTGATCTTTCTGACGCCCATCGACCAGGAAGACCAATGTCATTAGACAACAACGTTCTAAGGGCAGAAGTTGAAGCAAATCCATGCCAAACCATTGAAGAATTGTCGAACACCCTTAACCAACCTTGGTCGACCATCCAAGAACATTTACACCAGATAGGAAAAATCAGCAGAGCAGGTGTTTGGGTCCCCCATAACTTGTCAGTGCAAAACAAAGCCAACAGATCAAACACGTGCAATGCATTGATTCAACAGCACCATGCAGAACCGTTTCTTGATCGTTTGGTCACTGGAGATGAAAAATGGGTCCTATACGATAATCCAAAACGCAAAAGGCAGTTGCTCACCCCAAATGAACCAGCACGCAGTACTGCAAAGCCGGGATTACACCTCCAAGAAGGCGCTCCTGTGTGTTTGGTGGAGCATCCGCGGAATCGTCCACTTTGAAGTGCTTATTCCTGGACAAACTGTTAATGCGGACCTTTATTGTCAACAATTGGATCGAGTGAACCAAACTCTAGTTGAGAATTACCCGGCTATCGTCAACAGAAAAGGTGTCATTCTTCAACATGACAATGCAAGGCCGCACTGTGCACGACGGACGCTAGAAAAAATTAATGAATTGGGATGGGAGGTGCTGCCCCACCCTCCATATTAACCTGATATCGCCCCTTCAGATTTTCATTTGTTCCGATCCTTACAGCACTTTCTAAGTGACAAAAAATTTCAAACTTTGTACTGCTTAAAAAATCTCCAGATATTTTGATGACAAACCAATACATTTTTTTCAATCTGGTATAGAAAATTTGCCCGCTAGATGGAAAAATGTTGTGGAAAATGAGGGTGATTATATCATTGATTAAAAATAAATATTATAAAAAAATTATTTGTTTTAATTTGACGTAAAAATACGACATTACTTTCCGGTCAACCTAATATATATATATATATATATATATATATATATATATATATATATATATATATATATATATATATATATATATACCTTATATATATAACTTACTCTTAGTAAGGTATATATATATATGGTATATCACATAACTTACCCTAAGGTAGAAATTTTAATCTTTTTTCAAAGTTAGTAACATATACCAAATACATACAATAAATGTTAATATATAAAATATATCAAACACATACCAACCACTAAGATACATAAACTACTAAAATATTATAATTTAAAACCTTTTTTTATGCTTTCTTCTCTTTTTTTTCTTTTTCTTCTTTTTATTGCGGGAAATATCTGTATCATGTTCTTCTAGCTTTTCCTCAACTTCTAAGTGAAAAAAAGGGACCCATTTCAATATTCTTACAAGGTATTCTCAAAAACGCAGTATGAAAGCAAACAAATCTGTTTAATGATGTCAATATCCGACTGAACTACCTTCCTGTGAACATTCCACTTCAGGTGACACCTCAACTTCCGGTGAAGTGTCAATGTTTTGTACTATTGGCGAGTCTGTTGAATTTGAACCTTTTAATAAACAATATTAAATAATAAAATATCAACACAAAACATTATAAGATGTTACTGCAGATGAAACATGGTAATAAAATTAGTTACCACAGGTAAATAACATGATCATATATGATACTGTTACAAAATAGGTACTAAATTTGCAGTCATAGTTACTATTGATTGGCTAAATGTAGTGTCATGGGTACTTTGTTTATTAAATGTTAAACATTTTCAATTAAATTAAAATTTTTTATGTTTTTGATTTTTTTCATATTTTTGTAAATTTTATTATTACTTTTATAAGTATTTTGTACTAGAAGTGATGTTGTGCTATGATGCTTTGTACTAGATGTGATGTTGTGCTAATTGTTTGCTGACAACTGAAAAACTAAGATTTAACAATAAAATCTAGTTGTGTTAGAGTGGCCTAACCACAGTCAATTTTGAAAACTTGATACATTGAGATGTCAAAAATATTGCTATTATATCATCTTGATTAAAACAGTCAGTATATTTATGGGTGATATCAATTTTAATCCATTAGAAAAACTGGATATCTATGATTTCCGTTTTGCAATGTAAATTTATTTTGAGCCATGCACAACGTAAGAACTGCAAATTTAAAAGATATAAAAATGAAATTAACAGTCTAGTCAAATATTTATAATTTGTTCAACAACCAGGTGCCCACCTACTACACTAGGCCAGCCAGTTTTGTGAAATGTGAAATAGGTACTCAGGTACATGTCTACTGCACAGTCAGTTCAATAGTATATACCCCCATACACTGAACAATAACAAAGAAGCAGTACAGTTGTTAGTCACAAAAATTGTTGAAGCCTTGCCTATGAATGAATATCATCATGTTCAACCAATACTTATTTTTAACAATTTTGTATATTCTTCTTGCTTTCACAAAAAAATTTAATAAATTATAATTACGTTTCTTTCACTTATAAAATTTGCTTTATGATTTCTAAGCAAAAAAAAAAATTAACTGAAAAAGCAGGCTTTATAAGTGCAAACAAAAATTATAATTTACAAATTTTTTTATGAAAGCAAGAAAAAATAAATAAATATCGATTGAAAATGATGAAATTCACCACCATTTACTTTATGACACTTTATTCATTAATCACTCAAAAACTACTTTACAAATTTTTTTCATTTTTTGCACATGGAAGTTAATGTGTTGCTATGGTGATTGTAATGGTAAATAAGTATTGGTTATCATTAGTAATCAGATTTTATTGCCTTAAAGTTGACATTTCAAAGTTGACTGTTGTTTCTCAATCCAAAATTTATTTTTCAACAACATAAACAGGCTCAACCTACTGAATTATAAGCTAAAAGTGGAAATAAGAAAGGATTTGTCAGGATACGTCAGCCGCAGAGAGAACTTCATAGGAATTTTCACCCAAGCTTTAATAGGATTATACTTAAATCTCACAAATATAAAGCATATCATAAAATGAAAACTCCAAAACAAACTAATGATGGGGAAATTTAAGCAACCTGTTATTCAAAAAAGCTATATAAACTTTTAAACCAAGAAAACTTGTGCATAACTGAAGACAACAAAACCTATTGCAAAAAAGAATTTTCACAATTGCCAGGCCAGCAATATTTTTATCAGCCTTAAAGTTTATATTCACTTATATTCAAACTGCAAAATTTTTCCTAAGTTCCTTATTATTTTTGTCAGAAAGGTGTGATTGCATAATTTTATTTTTAACTAAATTATTTTATATTTTCAATATCTAAAAAAGTAGTAAACTGAAATTTTTTTTAAAAGAGTTATTCTCAGAGAAAAGAGCATTTAGATAAAATATGAATAAAAAAACTGAAAAACATGTTGGCTTAAATAATCTTATTCCCCAAAAATTTAGAATTATCAGACTAACTTTTAAATTGATGTTTAGAATAAAAAAAAGATAGCATGTACTAAGTATTTTTTAAAAACATAAAAATGTTTTTAAAAAATACTTAGTACATTAAGGTCCCCCCATGTAGAAAAAGTTAAAAAAATAGTTTTTTAACATCTTTTTGAGTATTACACACAATATGATTTATCTTATTTATATTTTATAAAAAATTTGATATAAAAAAAAATAGTTTAAGGGTCCCCCTGAATTATTTGTCAAGTGGTTTTGTAATTTGGCAACACCAGTTCCACAAGAATTTTTAAACAGTATTATCAACAGTAAATAAACAATTTTCAGGGATCACTCATGATTCATTAAAATATTTGGGTACCCAAAATTTTTTCTTAAAAACATAGAGGTTTTAGAAAGTAGCAAACATACTTATATTACACAGACCACTTGATAATATGAGCACTTTAAATTATCTCAAAAAATTAAAAATAAGTGAAAAATATTTTTACTTAGTTTTAATATTAGTATGATAATAATAAGATTCAGATCGATATTATAATTTCTTTAAATGGTTTTGAGAAATTAGTTTTTTAAATGTTAGAAATTAGGCTTGGTTTTTTAAACCAAGCCTAATTCTTTCAAAATCAGTGCAGTAAATCGTGCCAGATTTTGTTAAACAGTATTTCAATTAGTAACTCAGTCATGTGCTTCTGCTGCTGCTTGCACTGTATTTTTTCTGGGGTCACCACAAAAATGGATCTACTACCGAAACCTTGTAAATCTCTAATAAAAGTGAAAATCGTTAAATGGAAAAAAAGCAAGATCCACACAAAATCTATCATCAAGAATACTTGATTTGATACTTGATTGAGAAAAGTGTTAGTGTAAAACTTCCCGCTAAAATTACTTTGCTCAGAAGATACCTTTACCTTAAAAAAATCAGTAAGAGAAGTGGAGAAATAATCACATGAAAAAAAATAGTCTTGATTGAATTGCAAGAAATTTAGAACAGAGCTCATTTACCAGTTAAGCTAGATAATAAAAGCATTAAGTAATTTTATTGCAGTTTTTAATAAATAACAAAATGTGTTGAAGAAGGGAAAGAAGTGCTTTGAGAAGAAACGAGATCAGTTTTTGAAATCAATGAATCAACTCTATGATATATCAGCCACTGGCACATATTACATATCATGTGAATTTCGACTTGCAACATGGAAGGAGGACTGAAAGTTTTTACTAAACTAATAATAAATATACACAGGTAACTTCATGAACTATTTCAACCATGTTGCTGTATAGTGTTTACTTAAGGTAATTGTTTTCATTTTGTGGCAAATTATTGCTGACATTTGATGTGGACAAAATGTCCACATCAAATGTCAGCAATAATTTGCTGACATTTGATGTGGACATTTTGTCCACATCAAACATCATGGAGACAACTAACTCTTCTGTTGAATTTCTTTTATTAAATGATTTGCTATAACGTTTTTTATATAAATAAGATTTTAAGCAAAATTACCGAAAAAAGATTGTAAAAAAAAATTTTTTTAAACTTTTTTTACGTGAAACCCTAAAAGTAAACCCTAAAATTTTTAATTTTTTTAAAAATACTTGGAATATATTATTTTATTTTTAATCAAGTTTTAAGTTGGCCTGGTAATTTTAAAATTTTGCGGGAAAGGGACACTATAATGTTGGCTATACTTAGAAACAAGTTGGTACATATAGTATTTCGTGTTAGCAATAAATTAGTTAAAATAGTAAAAGATTAAAAAAACATACCAACATCAATGCTAGTGACAATATTCCTTGAATCATCGTCATCATTTCCATCCAAAATATCATTTAACAAACGCTCTTGAAGAGAATCTTCAATTACATGAACTGTAAAACATAAAAAAAAAATTATTAAAGTTTTATTTCTTCATGTTTTTTCAAGATTATTGTTCATGGTTCAACACTTGAACCATGAACCATGAACCATGAACCATGGTTTGGTTGAGTTTTCTCAATCCCACTTTCTTATATAAATTACAGAAGAATTTAAGCAAGTTTTTACAATTTTTTATCCGTTTTGGTGGACTCCTTTCCTGATCTTTTAATGCTGTTTGTGTTTTACAGTTAGAAATGTTTTGCAGATCAAGAGTATTTTTATACTAAAACTAGGAGGAACACCATTCAAGGTTTTCAAGCTCCTCTTACCATAACCAACAATTAAATTACAAAATCAGAAAATAAAATAAAAATAGTCTTATAGAAAATAATTGACTGGCATATAAATGGCCTTATACAGATTAACGAGTGCTAGAGCGGAGAAATGTTCTCCTAAAACATGGTGCGCCACGCAAGCTGCTCTCAATAAACAACTTTTTAAAAGAACTTTTGGTTTTTGTGGGACCAATTTTTTTGTTAATAAAAAAAATTGCTAATTAATTATGAAATTTTATTTTATTCAAGTAATCATTTGATTTTTGTTAGCTTGTAATACTTGTGATGTTAATGTTACAAGTATATATTTATAACGACCTGTATATATATTTTTAAATTCATTTTACTGTACAGTCATTCTTAAACTCAAACTTTGTCTTTTTATACAATGTAGTTTGCACAAGAATTTAGATTTTTTAAATCAATAATAAATAGAGAAAAAAGAAAGTGTTTAATAATAATCAACTAACTTTAAAATGACTTAGAGAGCAATTAAAAGTTTGCAATACTTTACTTTTAATTTTTTTTTTTTTTCATAGTGAAACACCCTCATATATGTGTGTGTGTATGTATGTATGTATGTATGTATGTATGTATGTATGTATGTATGTATGTATGTATGTATGTATGTATGTATGTATGTATGTATGTATGTATGTATGTATGTATGTGTATATATATATATATATATATATATATATATATATATATATATATATATATCAGGGGCTATTCTAGATCCTTAATCGACAGTGCCGACCATATTTGGGTGCCACCCAAATTCAAAATTGAGAACCCTTTTTTATTGTTTTACAGCAAATTTTTTTTTTTTTAAAAAAATTCAGCATTATATTTACCAAATTTTGCTGCTGCCACCCAAACTATTTTCCTAGAGTAGCCCCTGTATATATATATATATATATATATATATATATATATATATATATATATATATATATATATATATATATATATATATATATATATATACAGGGGCTATTTTATTCTATATATTCCTATTTATAAGGTAATTACTAATCCAACTATAAGAAAATAGTTTTTTTTTGAATTTTAATGAGGTCACTTCCTTTACTGCTCATTACCTCCGAAAGTAATATTTAAAAACTTTGTACCTTTTTGCATCATGCACCTCATTCCTTTTAAAAAATTACTTAATTTTTATACAAACATTTTTTTATTTTATGTTGTATTTTGGGTGTGTGTATATATATATATATATATATATATATATATATATATATATATATATATATATATATATATATATATATATATATATACATAAACTGTTACAGGAAGCACAAGCGTTCACTTGTCTGTTTATGCTCAAAATATTTTATAAAGACAACTTGACTATGGCTTTTGGCATGTTTTGAAATATTAGGCATTTCATAAATTTGCAGAAAATTACTATATATATATATATATATATATATATATATATATATATATATATATATATATATATATATATATATATATATATATATATATATATATATATATATATATATATAAGAAAATCAAAAAGGCGTTTAAATGACTACTAGGGTGGTTCAAAAACAATAGTTTTGAAAAATATTGGCAGCTCTCACCTTAATGTGTTCTATACGATAAAATAACAGTAGATTTAAAAGTTTTTTGAATAAAAAATTATTTTAGTGGTGCCTCAAGACCCTTGAACATTTAATGGGTCCCTAATATTAAAAAAATATATAACTAAAAAACTTTGTAATAACACATTTTTTATTTTTATTTAAAAATGTCATTTTTTTTGGCAATATTATCTTAAATAATTTTTTTTTTTCATAAAATGATGATTATTTTTGAAATTTTTATATAATTTTGCTTTATTTGAGACCCAACAAGTACTAAAGTTCATAAAATTTTTTTTACAAGTATTTTTTTTACAAGTATTAGGGATCCATTAAAAGGGTCTTGAGACACCCCTAAAAATATTATTTCTATTGAAAAAACTTTTAAATCAAGTGTTATTTCCATCAAATAGAACAAATTAAGTTAGACACTTCTAAATTAAAATTTAGAAGCGTCTCAATTAATACAGGGTTGCCACTATAATTTTAAAAGCTTTTCCCTGAGTTTTCCCTGGTATTCCCTGAGTTAAGTACATTTTTCCCTGATTTTAGTTTTTTAAAATCCCTGAGTTTTCCCTGAGTTTTCTAGATTCAATATATATATATATATATATATATATATATATATATATATATATATATATATATATATATATATATATATATATATATATATATATATATATATATATATATATATATATATATATATATATATATATTGAATGTGGAAAACTTAAAATCTTTGTTTAATGCACTACATGCTGTTACAAGTAAATTCTTTTTTTGTCTACTTCTTTAATTTCATCTAATATGATTGCTCTTTGGTGGTTTGATTTACACTCTTTCTTTAAATTCGCCTGCTCTGCTAAACTGATTTGGTACTGTTGTCTGGCTGATTTACTAATAACATTGATGCATTTGTGATATTAATAGTGTCAGCTTGAATGTTCTGACAAGATATGTAACAATCTTTTTAGTTTATTTTGATTGGTTTGAAACAACTTGCATTCGCTATGATTGCAGAGTCTAGTGGGATGCGTTTAAGTAAACATTCCATGGTTTTTGTGAGAAATAAAACACATTCATTTCTAAACTGATTTATCTTATTAAGAGTTATATTATCTTTAACAAGGAGTTTTTTAATTGAAACTTCAGCTGCAAAACCAATAACAACATCTTTCCTTGGTAGCAAATTCTCTTTTTTATAGAGATCTATTTTTTTTAAGTCACTACCTTTTTTTCAGCTTTGAATTACTGAAGGTTTAATAAATAAAGCTAAAATATTTGTTATTAATTCTCTAAGATCAGTATGGAATCATTGGTTGATCAGTCTGATAGAGTGTCAAGTAGGTTTTAAACAAGCTGGCAACATAACTAAAAAATTGTAACTTTGAAACTGTCGGGGAGTCATTTGATGCTTTTTGAACATTAAAAAAACTTTTTGAGGAAGGCTGTTTAGACTTAGATAATTTTAGGCTGTTTAGACTAGATAATTTTTCCCAAAATCTAATTAATTTTACAATGTGTCCCATATTTCGATTAGGCAATCAGCAACAATTTGGTCTTCAATCCATCTTGTTGAACAGAAACTTAATGGATACTGATTTGAGCCAGTAACACTGTTATAGTCATCCCTCCTAACCGGAGTATCATGGAGTATTTGGTATGCTCCATTAAGATTACTTTTTGGATTCCATGATGTAGACTCAGAACCTAATTTAAAAGTTCCATGTACTACATGCAAACTACAAGACCCAATATCAAGTAAAGAATTTAATTTGCACTCATTTCGGTATAGGAAAAGTTTTATAAAAAATTTCCAATTTGTATTAGGCCTATCCATAGATACTTATTATTTTTGAAAAATTCAGATTATCCAGACCATTTCCATTTCTTTATTGAAATTTTTTAGAATATGTGCTGCAGAGGAATGGCCAAGAAAAACTGAATTTAAATATCGCACAATAACCTAATTTTCTAAAGTATTCCAAAATCTAACAACAATATCCATTTGACAATTTTGTGTAACTTTGTTTAGACTTTCATCAAATGAGACAACATAACATGGTGAATTTTTGATACTTTCAAGAAGTAATGATTTAAAATATGGTGCTAATCCATAGGTAATCATATATCCTATTTTTGTTCTATATATCCTAATGTTAATCCTTTTGCCACTTTCCTATCTGGAAAAATACTAGTAAATAATTCGCTCAAATTAGCAGATGCATTGTTTGACAATCCATTCATAACAGTTGCAAGAACCCATCTTATTTCAGATCTTGTTTCTTAATTGGAAGTAACAACAAGTTCTAAAGTTTTTTGACCAACTGCCAGGGGTAGTGTTGGTGTAATAGTAGAATGTTTTACAACAGGTTTGAAAAAGTGACTTATGGATTTAGCTAAAACATTAAGTCGGTGCTTTTTACCTTCATTATGACTTTTAACTGCCTGAACCCCCATGTTTGACAAATTAAGAGTTTTACAACAGCTGTTACATCTAGCAACTTTATTGTTGTCAATCTTAACAAGCCATTCTTTATACTCTGGGTGATTTAGCCAATCATTTGAAAAAATAGTTTGATCCATTTTAATTATTAATAACTCTAAAAAAAATATATTCTTCTTTCAAACATATTACATATATTTATAGATTTAATGATGAAAGATCATAAATTTATATATAAAACATTTTTATATAACTTATTAAATCAAACTTTACTCAGTATTTTAGTATTTACCAATTAAGCCCATAATAAAAGTTCTACTTAAAATAACTAAATAACTTAACTATAAAATATAAATTCAAATTTAATATTGAAAATAAGCAAACCATACAAAATTAACATCAAATGTAAAATCTCATAAAAAATTATGATAATATATATATTACGAATTTATCATAACTTAAATTATTGTTAATAATTTAATAAAACAATATTTTCAAAATTGGAAAAATTTTTCCCTGAGTTTTCCCTGAATATTAAATAAATAGAAAAAAATCCCTGAGTTTTCCAGGTTTTCCCTGGGATTCATGCTATTTCCAGGTTTTTTTCAGGTTATCCATGTTGAGTGGCAACCCTGTAATAAATTAAAGTAACTTTTTTCAATATTACTTTGTTAGTAGTGTTTGTGTACAGCACTCAATTTGTTTCTCTGTGCAGTGACCTTGTTTGTTAAGGTTCATATTTCGGAGTGAGAGAGGATTATAAATACAATTAAGTAGCCCCCTCATCTGTAGTGGCCTTCTTGGGCTTGGGGAGGTGAATTGACAAAAAAAAGTGTAGTGCTTAGAATGATTAAATACTATATTAATGAAAAAATAAGAAAAAAGCTGAGAAAAGTTTATGAGGCGTTGGAGAAAGGCTCAAATCCTTTATTTGTTCAGTAGACATTGAAAAGTATCTAAGTTTCGAGTTTTTAAGTAATTAAGCTTGAATGAAATTTTTTTTTTCTAAACTTTATGAGGTCAAACACTTTTTAATTAAATTTTGAAATAGAGATAAACATTGTTGTTTTGGTCTGAGTTAATTTGTTAGATCATGCTTAAGAATATGAAAAAAACTTTATAAATTTTTTTTGATGATATTACTATCTAGAAGTGGGAAGCAACAAACTACACTTACTAACTTACTGATAATAGTACTTTCTAGAAGTGGGAAGCAACGAACTACACCTACTCAATGATGATAGTATTTTCTAGAAAGCATGGAACTACATTTACTTGTGTTACTGTAATTGAATAGTTAATTTGTGAATTTTTTCTTTTTTAGTATTTTTTAAAACTTTACTTTTGCTTAAATATACATTTTTTAAAGTATTGCACATCATTTAAAGTTTCACATTAATTTATTATTGCAAAAATAATATTGTTTCATAACAAACACCCATTTAGTATTTTATTCTGTTTTTATGAGTATGATTTAAGAGGACATTAAAAAAGTTTTACATCAGTTTAACTTACAGACTATGCAAGTGGAACATCTTTACATTTTGCCAAAAAATCCTTAAAAGAAATACTTTTAACAAGGTCAAAAGTAATTTTTTTTTCCACCCTTCGAGCTTTCAATGTTTGTCTTTATACATTTTACGAACATAAATATTTAATTTTTTTTTTCCCCTTTTTTCCTTGACTTCAACATGAAACAAATCTTAAAGTAAATTAATTACTGCTTTTTTTTACAACTTTTTTTTTACAACAATTTACAACTAACATCTGGCAAATGATTGAAGATGATACGTATATCTAATGGGTAAATCTCATACTTCTTTCAAAACCACTTATATCTAATGGGTAAATCTCATCTTTCAAAACCACTTAGCTACTAAGTTGATGATTACTTTTATGCTTTTACTTTTTATGGTTTATCTTATATTTATTTTACCATTTTTAAAATTTTTAATTTTTTTATTTTAGTTATGCATTTTATTTAGTTTTTATTTTAATTTTTAGTTTATGGTTTGTTTATTTTTAAACTAATTTACCTTATTTAAATTAGCTGTGGCCAAGTTGCCAAAACAAAATATTATGTGCGTGGTCATATAAAACATGCAGTGTATGTATATATAAATATTAGGTACATGTATGTATATATATATATATATTAGGTACATATGGTATATATTATTTATTAGAATATATTACTATTATAATATTACTTTTATAAAATTTATTATCAAAACCTCTGATATCACTTACCTGGATTGTGTATTGAGACATCATAAACAACATTGTCATCATAACCTTTAATATCATAAGGTGAGCGAGCAAAACTTATAAGCTCTGCAATAAAATGGTCGGTTTCCTTAAAAAGAAACGGCTCAAGCTGCTTTTTAAATTCTTCACATTCCATAGAAATGCTAAACAAAAAAATTGTTTATCAACATTTAATTATAATTATTAATGATAACAAGATATCAAGATTATAAGAATAATTTTGATATCTTTGATATTATTGATATTTTAAGAATAATTTTCTTACTTTTCTTTTTTTTAATTACTTAATAGAAAGTTCTAAACTTTTTTTTATTTACTTAATAGAGAGTTCTAAACTTTTAAGACAATGTAAACCAAATTAACTAGTATAATTCTGTGGGAGTCATTTTAAAAAACCTGTGAGATTGTACCATATAAATGTCTGCAAGCAGAAATGTTGATCGGTTAAAAAAAATGCATGTCTTAGATAAATATTTAAAAGTAATGAAAGTTTAATGCCAGATTAATAATATTATCAGTGAAGAACCCAGAGTTTATTTAAGGATGCTGGTTTTTATAGATCGCGGCAAATAAAGGGGGGGGGGGGAGAGTGGTTGTTGAAAAATTCTATTATATTTATACATTATAAAATAATGTATAAACATAATATAAAAATGCAGTATAAAAGGTAAACAATATCTGTTCTTTTAACCCTACCTTCGCACCTCCACCAGCACCGCCATTGCTGTTTTTTAAATTTCACTTATGTTAGTAGCTATCCAAAGCTATGAAGTTGGTATATTTATTATATTTTTATTAGCTATTTATATACAAATTTTGCCGTTGGTTGCTATATAAGTTACGTTGAGAAAACTATTTTATTTAAAAATAGTTAAATTGATAAATATATAATTTTATTTAAGAATAGTTAAATTGTTAAAAATAAGCACTTACGTTGTATATACAATACGTAAATACATTCTGTTCTATATACAATATTATGTTTTTTTTATAAAAGAGATATTGAAGTTAAATGTAATTAATAAAAAAAGTAGTTAATTTAATAGTTTTTTTTTTTATACACTGATTTATATTTTTTTGTAAAAGATGCGTTGTTGAAAATTCATTCATTCAAAAGCTAATTTAAGCTTATTACTACGTTATAATGTTTAAAAAAAAGCCTAGAGAAGAAATTAATAGTCAATAATAATGAACAATCACTTTATTAAGTAAATAAAATATTTTATTATATATAAAGCAAACTTTAAACAATTGCTACAATTCAATTTGACGCACATTTGAATCTCTGTATTTGTCCACCTCTGTATTTCTCTGTTGAATTTCTGTATTGGTCAATCTCTATATTTCTCCCATGTGAAATCATCAAATTGATCAGGACCAAGGAAAACTATTCGCATAAGCTTGTCTAAACTACATGGTTGCAATCTATTCTGTTGCTTCATTGCCAACAGACCAAGTACAGAAAAGCCTCTCTTAATGTTAGCAGTACTAGGCGTGATTAAAAGAGAGAACTTAAACTAATAAAGTAACTCTGGATATTGAAATCCTTCTTTCATTAGAGCAGCATATATACGTGAAGGTGAAATCTGGTTTTCTTCTTTGTATTTTACAACATTACAGAATTTTAGCTTTTTACTTTGAATGAGTTTGCGAATTTATTTGTTTCTCTTTTTTTTCTTCTCTTAAAACTTCAGCATTGAAATCATTAAAAAAAACATTTAATATCAACTTCTGTTACTTGTGATTTCTTAACTAACGGCTCTGCAGTATTTGTTTCATTCTTAAAAGATGAGGACTGTGACTCTCCTTAAAAACCGACCAGCACATAAGCACACTCGATTCTTTTCTTAAGATGATATTGTAATGACACATTATGGACCTCAAATGCCAAAAACACAGGATCATCCAAGGAAAATGCCGAATCTAGTTCACTAGAAACTTCTTTCAAGAAAGGGACTTTAATTTCATGTTTAAATTTTTCATTGAAATAAAGATCTTTATTTCAATGTCATTTGCAGCATCTGTTCAAAGCAAGTTGTTTGCTCCCAGCCTACGCGCCAATTCCATTCGCTCTCTTGAAATATTAAGGAAAGAGTTTGAGTGCTCTTTAAATAAAGGGCCGTAGCTTACTTTTAGCTTGTTGATGGACTGTTTGAGAAGTTTAAATTTACTTCCAATGTCTGCATAAATTAAATTTTTTTTTTGAAGAAATAAAGATAACCTATTTATGTACAATAACAAATCGGCTAGCAAAAGTAAAAACAATGCAGTGTCAGGATTTAAAAGTTTGTCTTTCAAACCCTTAACCTTTGGGTCAGCTCCTTTGTTAAGAATGGCATCTAATGTATCAATGAAACACAAATATCGTGATACTAATCTTTTAGATGCTTCACCATGCGACAACCATCTTGTTGTATCGGCCTTAAGTAGCTTGCGTTTTTTTTGTCCTAAGGCCTCTTGAGCTTCTCAAAAAACAGCATTCTTTATGGAGGAATATTTAAGCAGTTTCCACAATGACAGCAGGAGACTATCGACATCTTAAAGGTGTATGGACTTGGGCAGAAGATGAACAAAAACTGAGACTAATTTATGATTCCGGCAGTTATCATACTTGGTATGTGTCAAAATCTCCTCTGCAGTCCTGTACGTTTTTCGAACGAACAAGGGCTAAAGAATAGCGAAAAAATATTGAAAGTTCGGCACGGTCAGAAATGTCAATTATTTCATCTGCCATTAAACTGAAATCTGAAGCAACAAATAAACAACCGCTAAATCCATCTTCCAAGTATTCATTAAAACACTTTATAAATGTATCTGCTATTTTTTTTTAAGAGTATGTGGCACGGCTGCACGAATCAAACAAATGCTTCTCAATATCTGCGTCGGGCAAATCTCTTAAGAATTCCACTTTATCCGTAAAATTCTCTGCCACAGCCCATTTCTTTTTTGCAAGATAGTATGCCATTTTCATAAACTTATTTATTACCCCCCTATTTCTTGCTTTTGCATCAATATTTAGATATCTCTCACTGTGAACCATCTGCTTGTATATCGTTCCTTTTACTAACATTTTTTTAATTTCTTTTCGCTTGGCAGTTGCGTCAACGTTTTTTTTAGACTGTTTATGCTTCTCAAACGTTCTGGTTGGATGTTAATATAGCTTCACAGCTTCTTTTACCCAATACATACTTCCTGCACTATATTCCAAACAAGTTTTCCACAACCAACCTTGCTTTGCCGCTGAATACATAGCAAATCCAAATTTGGTTTCCCATTTTGCTTGTGTTTGATGTTCAGTGAGATAAGTTGTTTGAAAACTTTCAGGAACATCGTCTATTATTGCTTGACATGAATTTTCTATCAGTTGCTCCTCCATGTCAGATAAATAGTCTTTAGATTTTTCAACTACTTTATATATCATTTCAGTTGATGACTCTTTACTATTAATTTTTAGTTCATTTGCTGCATTTTTAGCATATTTGAAAAACGTGTAAAGCGTTGACTGTTGACATCGATTATTTTGCAGAAAAATTCTTTTTTATTTATATGTTGATGCTAACATATTATGGCTTCCGCCAGTTGATTTATTACCCCTTATGTTTATTTTATTAAGTTGTTTAAACTTAAATGATTGTTAATTCTAAATATAAATTGCAAACAAATAAAAATGTAACATTAAAAAATGCTTATGTAACGAAGTCAAAAAAAAGTTTCTTTAAATGAGTTAGTTTGAATTATAAAGAAATGTTTTTTAGTCCATTCAAACTTAAAATATTTTTCAAATGTATAAAAGAATTTCACGACTATTTTCCTTCTTTTAAATTGAAATTTTAAAGTTAAAATATTTTTTTAATGAAATTTTTCAAGTCGTTATCTAGCTTTGAAAGATGTTTTAATTCATTTTTTTAAAACGAACGCTCAATTAGTAAGCAATTGGTAGTTTTAGACTAGTAATGGCATGTAATTAAGAAAAATTCTACAATAAAACGATTATCGAATTTTTCTGAAAAAAAAAAGAACTAGCTTAAATAAACAGAATATTTGTTATAAACTACGTATATAACCTTGTATAAAGTTATATTACGACTTTTTATTAAAAAAAAAAGAATAATAACTATTTGTACATTTTGTTGGGTGCTTATTTTTGGGTGCCCATACCAGTAAAACAGTACTAAAACACATCTGGGTTCTTCAGTGATTGTGATCAGATTTATTCCAAATATTTGATAAATTTCAAGAAATTTAGTTAAACTTGAACTTCAATGTTGAATTCAATTTGAGCTGCAAAGTTGAATTCAATGCTTTAAAATTTTAAAAGATTTAATCAAATTTGCAAAATTTAATTCTAAGAAAAAAATTGCAAGAATTTTAGATTTAAATAAAAAAGATGTTTTAAAGTGTTATGTTCTATGCATTTTATGTTAAAAAAATTTAGATGAATTTTTTTTGTTAAAAATTTACATGAAAATTTACGTGCTATATTGGTTGGTTACATGTATACATATATGCATATGAATATTACATTGGTTACATGTATACATATATGCATATGTATATTACATGTGTAAGCTATATTGGTTACATGTATACATATATGCATATGAATGTTACATTGGTTATATATATATATATATACATATATGCATATGTATATTACATTGGTTACATGTATACATATATGCGTATGTATATTACAATATGCTATATTGATTATACTAAAAAGGTTTTTGCTATACTTATTAAACATAAATAATTAAAAATCTAAAGACACTCTTAAAGCAGTAAAATTAAGTAATGTTTTAAAACATTAATTACACCATTATTACAAAAATTATATAACTTTTTAAAGTCTCTTTTTTTAATACAAAATATTTAAATTTAAATAAGGCATATAAAAATTTTAAATTATTTGATTGCAAACAGCGTCTTCAGGTAACAGAAAATTGTTAACAAGAATACTATTGTTAAAATATTATTTAACAAATCATTTTCAAAGACAACATTAAAAGCATAAAAATAAAAAATCAGTAAAATAATAAAAAAAAGCTCCTCTAATTTTAGTACTAACTCTTTTTCTATCATGATTAAGAACTGTTTCCTATTTCTTGCAGAATTTAATTTTTTGTTTTGGTATTCTAAAATAACTTCCAAGTTATTTAGATGCAGCCAGTCAAAAGACTATTTTACTTTAAACCTACATGGAATAAATTTAAATGTGTAGAATTGTATACTAAACAATGAGAGCTTTAATTACTTTTAATGAAATAAAATTTATTTTTAATTTTTACATGCTGCTCTAGAGTAGGATAAAAAATTATTTGACTTTTTGTACGATTATTTACTATATATACATTAATATTGTTTAGATTTTAAAATTTTTTTGTTGTTTTAAACTTTTTGAAACCTAATTTATTAATTTTTGTTTTTTTGTAATGGGCATCTAAAATGCTTAAATGGGCTTCAACCCCTTCAATTTTACATTTTGCCCCATTTATGACCCTTTACTATTTTTTTCCAATTTTACCAACACTCTTTTCTATTTTTATAGAACAAAAAAAATAATTTAATTTTTATAAGAAACAAATACTCTTGAATTAAAAAAAATATATATCATGCATCTAAAATGCTTAAGACCTCCTCAACTTTATCCTTTTGCACTATTTATAATTTTTAGCATCTTGATTAATAAACATCAACAACAACACCAATCAACAACATAATAACATCAACAATAAACAACAATAACCAACAACATAAAAACATCACAATAAACAGCAATATCAACCAAAAACATAACAACATCACAATAAACAACAATACCAACCAACAACATAACAGCATCAACAATAAACAACAACACTAATTAACAACATCAATAACCAATAAGTCATCTTAAAACTTAGAATACTTTCTAAGTATTTAAAAAACAAATATAAACAAATATAAAATATAAAAAAAATATTAAAAATTAATTCAAAATGATTTACTTTGTAAACTTAAAACAGCAATACTATTATTGACACTAAATTAACTAAACTAAACCAAACAAATATCACTATTTACAAATATGTTTAATATGTAAATCTATGACTTATAAATTCAATTCAATTCAATTTAATTCACCTTTAATTTTTTTTATTTATATTATGAGTATTTTATTTGAATGCAAAAAAAAATTGTTAATTTTCTTTTTTATGCACTTCACTTGTTTTTGTAACATGTAACATAATATGATGGAGTTTTATTATAGCAAAAAAATAATTGAGATATTAAGGAATACTTCAGTGTGCTTTAAACATAAAGATAAAATTTTGGTATCATATATATATATATATATATATATATATATATATATATATATATATATATATATATATATATATATAAAGAAACTTGATATAGATTTACTTAAAAAAATATATATATATTAAAATAAAGATAAAAAATATAATATAGATTGGATATAGATTTACTTGGATATAAGATTCAAAATCAAGCTCATTACAAATCTGATATTTTCATCATTATCACCAAGAAGAACATTTAAATCCCTCAAAAGCCATGGTACCAATCGATGTTTCAGTGCGGGGTTTTCTTTAAAAAATTCACAACCTGTAACAAATAATATTTTTAAAAAAATGTTTAATATATTAACAAATCAAAAGTATTTATCTTAGACACACACACACAGACAGACACATATTTTACCCTCTTTTTAACTTACACCATTTTGTCTTCCTGAGTGTGCTAGAATATACTTTATTTGAAAGTTCTAAAAAGTATTATTTGCTCACAGCCAAATTTGTTCATATTTCTAGCCAGTTCTTATTGTTAGTTGTAGAGGAATTTTAAACAGTTAATTACAAAATTTTGAAAAAAAGAGTTTTATTTATTGAAGAGAAATTAATTTATTTAAAAGAAAAAAGAGATTGTTCAGGCCTCGAATTAACGCAAAAAAATCCAACTGTAAAAAAAAAAAAAATTTTTGGCTTCTCCTCCCCCCTCTTCCTCATACCTCGCGCCGCTGTGTTGTAATGAGGGTATGGGTGTGTGTGGCGTATCTTTTGTACGTAATTGGTTATTTTTTTAGCATATTATCTCTCATATTTAAATATTATCTTATAATTTTTTCGTTTGGCGGAATTTAAAATAGCTTAAGTTATAATTTATCGTAGGTCGGCATTGCCAATTGCCGACCCTAATTCTGAGGCTTTATATCAGAAACATTACTGAACTCCAATTTTTGCTTTGAGCGGAACAATTTTCACACCAAATGGTGATTTCAGATTTATCCCAATATTCTTCCAAAAACAAAAAGTATGTAGAAATTAGCTCTTCTTTGTACCGCCCAGCAATTTCTTCATGCCAAACAAAACTATACTTTCCTTCAATTTTCCAATAGACACAAATGTTACATTGTATGTAGTTAACCGCTGACAAAACATTCCTTCTTTAAAATTTCCCATTCTTGGTAGCATAATTACTTTTTCCATGTCTGTCCCCAATATTATTTCTTGTGCACAAACAGTTGGATCAGCATCAAGTTTATATTTGTTTCTGGTCCAAACTTTTTCATGTGAATATTCCATGTCATGCAGTCTGTACAGTCTGAAGTTAATTGAGAATGATTCTTTTCTCCACAATGTGTAAAAAACTGAAGACATGCATAACACTCTTCCTTTGTTTGATAAAAATTCCGCAAAACATCTGGAGCTAGTTGTAAAATAACTGCTCCAAATATTGTGCGGCGTTTTTGTTATATTTGCATGGGTGATTTAAATAGATGATTTTTGTGTAAAAGTTTATAAAAAGGCCGTAAAGCATCTGGAACTAGTTTTATAATTGCTTTAAATATTGTGTAGTCTTTTAAATATTGTGTAGTCTTTTTTTTCCAATCCATAATATAATTTAGATAATAAAGTTAATATATAAATAAATGTTTTAGTTGCAAATCTCTTGTAAAATTAATAACTTAATAATATATCAAATAGTGTTTTTCTTGAAATACGTAAAAAGTAACTTAAGGCGTTTTGAAAAATGGTTGTAGTACAAAACTGTGTTGTTGTTTTTTTCAAATACTTTTAGTTTTTCCTTAGAAATGGAATACCCAGGTGGCAAAAATCAGGATTTTTGACACCTACTTTTCTTTGGTTTGCATCGCAGTCAAAAAACAGCTGAAGCTGCTCGTGACATAGGCAACGTGTATAGAGAAGGTGTCATAGATGAATGCGCAGAACAGAAATGTTTTGCTAAGTTCAAAAACAGCAACAATGACCTCGAAGACATACCTTGCAGCAAACGACCTGCAAAATTCAATGAGGAGCATCTCAAGACACTTTTGAAGGAAGATGGTTACCGAATAAGTTGTGAATTGGCCAAAAAAATGAACTGTGATCATAAGACAATCCTCAATCATCTTCACACGATGGGATTTGTCAAAATACTTGGAGCCAGAGGGCCTCACAAGCTTAACAAAATCAACAAAGAAAATCATTTTTAAATTGCTACTTAACACCTTGCGCGCCATCGAGGAACACACAGCCATAAACCAGGCCTTCTCGTAAGAGGCGTGCGATCGCACGCCTTATATGACCACGCATAAAGTTCTTTGTTTTAACAACTTGACTACGGCTCGTAGCAAGTTTGATAATTAACGTATTTAAAAATGCGCTAAAAAAAACAAAGTAAATTAAATTTAAAATAAACTGAAACGAGAATAAAACTGAAACGAGAATAAAACTTCATAAACTGAAAAGAGAATAAAATCCTTAAAATAATATATAATACAAAAATTAACCTAAAAAAATAAAATATTAAATGAATAATAAAATAAATAAAGGAAAAACAAGAAACAAAAATCAAAGCATTTATTGATTAATGTAAACTTAATTGTAAGCGAAAGTAAAAAAAAAAATTATCACAGCTCTAATAATCTTTATCATTCCTTCCCTGAATAATTAGGCTAATACAAGGGCAAATCCATTGTGAAGGAAAGGGTCCCCCTCCCCTCAGATTTTTTATTTATTTTTTTAGAAACTGATGTTTAAAAACATAAGTAACTTAGGTTGTTTAAAAGTGCCATGAAATTTAATAAAGTTTTGTGGTGCAAGTTTAAATTTTTTTTAAATATTAAAAGGATACAGGGTGCGACAAATCAACAAATTTGCTCGTATTTCTTAAAAGACAGACAGAAAAACAAACATCAACTTTCTTTAATTTTGCTTATGCAAATGTTGCCATTTGATTAGAATTTTTAAAACGAACATATTACTTCAGCAATTTTTTTCAAAATAATTTTGCGGTCATGAGTTTTTTATTTATAATAAAAAACACATTTAATATGAAAAACAATTAATTTCACAGACTTAAATTAATGCCAAAACGTATTTTTTTCAATGGCATCACTTTTAATTAAAATTACTAAATACGCTATAGAAAAAAGTAATTATGTTTTAACATGGTTTTTGCATGCACTCACAAAAGCATACATAATTTTACTTAAAATGAATGCTTTTGCAAAATTTTCGAAAGAAACCATGCTCAAACATTTCGATTGCTATCTTTTATTGAGAAAAGCGATCATAACGTTTAACGATGGTTTCTTCTATGTTTTTAGCAATTACATTAAAAGTTTAAAGCAAATGTATTCATTATAAATAAAATTTAACAATAAATAAAATTTTTTTAAACTTTCTTATTTTCCATAAAGTGAAATGTTTGTTTACATATTAAAACTTTTGCACTTTTAAAAGTTTTTTTATTGTGCATTTATCATTAATTTGCGCTCACTTTGCAAATGTGTAAAATAAAGGTTTTTGAAAAAATAAAAATTGAATAAATTTACCAAGCATCTTTGATATATTTTATAACTTATTAACTAGAATAAAAATTATTTGAATTTTTTTGACAAAAATCTCTTAAATTAGACGTTTGTCAATAAATAAAGATACGCAAGTCAACGTTAATTAAAAAAAAAGGATATATCACGCCCTGGGATAAAAAATAGTTGCCAGATGCGATTGTTTCAAGATTATTGTGATTCCTTTTTTTTTTCTAGTAAATAATTTCTTAATTAGAAATTATATTTCCATAATAAAATGGTTTGTAATTATTTTTTGATAGCTTCTGTACTCATTTTGCCTTGAACTCTAATGTAAATATTTTTTTCAATGATTGTCTTTAATTAAGTTGAATTGAAGTACTCAGGAAATTTTGTGGGAGTTTAATAGTAATTATGGAATCAATTAATTTAAAAATTGCTTTATTTTTTAGCGCATTTTTTAAACGCGCTAATTATCAAAACTTGCAAAGAGCTGTGGTCAAGTTGTAAAAACAAAGAACTATATGCATGGTCATATAAGGCGTGCGATCGCACGCCTCTTACGAAAAGGCCTGGCCATAAACAGCACTTTTTATACCGAATTGTCACGGGATATGAAAAATGGTGCCTGTACGTCAATATGAAACAAAGAAAGGAGTGGGTGAAAAAAACCAAACAAACTTATTCCCCAACCCAATATATAGTAATATTACTTGATCCTAATAAAATTCTTTTCATACAACTAACAAATTGAACCTCTCTTTCTTTTGAACCTCCTCATAAGATTATAGGAGCTGGATGTAATAAAGCATAAACTTGTTTCTCCGCGCAGCGCCCTTGTTGGTCAAGGTTCATGTTTCGGAGTTATAGAGTTGAGAGAGGGTTATAACCACAAGTAGCATCCTCATCTGTAGTAGCCTTTCTCAAATTCAATTCAAAATGAATGAATAGTAGCTTCATTTGTAAGAAAAAACACTTAAAATAGTTTTATAACAATTCCAAGTACTTTAAAGGTACTTTGAAACAAAAAAAAATACTAAAGAAAATGTTACTCTAATAAATATTAAATTTCTCAACTTGTATTTATTAAAACCGAGAATGAGTTTTACATTTGTACATTAAACAAAAACCATGAACAAATGAATGAATAAATTATTGATATAAAATCCACTGCAAACATAACTTTACATCAACAGTTTGTTCAAGCTACAAATAATTATTTATAAAAAATTTTCTTAGATCTATGCCATAAAAAGAACTAAACTGATGTTAAACTTCCATATCCCATATCCTATAATGATATTACCTTGATGGAAATGATTAAAATTGTTCAAAAGTGTGATTTGATTTCACTCTTTTTTGTGTGTTATTTTTGTTTACAATTTTCTATGACAATAATATATTATATGTAACAATGATATATGAAAGGAAAAGAATATATGACATAAAAATAAAATACAACATTACAATAATATGACAACAATTCCTTGCTTTATAATTTAATATAAATAATCATACTGATATCCCTCAGTTTTGGTCGCCCTCTTTGTTTAACTTCTTTGACATGCATATGTAAACGATAAACTGCCCTAAAAAACAAAAAACAAAAAAACATGATAAAAAATATTTTAAAAAGCTACAAAATCTCTGTGATTACATAATGCAGTTCATTTTAAATATATATATATATATATAACTTTTTAAAAACATTAAAAAATTTTTAAAAACAACATTTTAAAATGTTGTTTTTAAGAAGTTATTTTTATAAACTTTTTATTATTTACATTTTAGTCTGCTAAGAAAGTTTATTTACGCTAAACTAAAACGCTAAAAGTTTGTTGTTTAATTTTCATCAAAAAAACATTTTTTTAACACTAGAGCTAGTAAAAAAGTTGAAAAAAAGTCCATGTCCCTGGTAGTACCACGCTCAACTCGTTTCTCCGCGCAGCGGCCTTGTTTGTCAATGCTTGTGTTTCAGAGTTATAGAGTTAAGAGAGGGTCATCAACACAAATAAGTAGCCTCCTTGCCTGTAATGGTCTTCTCGGACTTGAGGAGGTGAATCAACAAAAAAATGTAAAAAATTTAAAAAAATTTAATTTGCCATTGTATTATCTGCCATAGTTAAAATGCAGTCTACAATAATTAAAAAAAAAGGAGAAAAATTTTAAACTTAATTTTCATTTCACAAGAAGGAACTAAAAAGTGCCTCATTGTGAAATGAAATATCTAGATTTTTTTTTATTGATAAATTTGAAGTTTGTTAAAACAAACAAGAATTAACTTTTAGAAAGTTAGGTTAATTAAATTCTTTTCAAAATTTCTTTAGATTTTTTCGCAAACTTCAATTGAACCAGCTGATAATCTATAGTGCCAAATAAATGAAAACAACTACTTCAGGACTTACTTTAGTTCAATGCAAGTTTTAGAAACATAATTACTTTATAAACATTAAAAACTGACAACAGTTTGACGAAGCATAGAGAGAAATCTAAAAGTAATTTCAAATAAATAGTTTAAAAAGTAATTACAATAACCATTTTTGAAGTTGAAATTATTGAATAGGTGAGCTTGACTTGTTTTTCAAAGCTTGTGTTGAAAAAGGATGATAACTTTTTAACTTTTTTAGTTGTTGTTGGTAACAACAATTAAAAATACGTTTTTCAAACAGTAATTAAACTAGATTGTTGTATGCACACACACACACACACACACACACACACACACACACACACACACCTACACACACACACACACACACACACACACACACACACACACACGCACGCACACACACACACATATGTATCTATTTACAAATTTAAAAACATTTGCTGTACCAAGAATAAAAGACAAAATTATAAAATACATATAAAAAATTAATTTCAAAATGTTTTCACAAAAAAAATGCTTCATTTGTACATTATGTACAATTATTTACATTATGATTAATCTCTTTGACCACAGTATTAGACAAACATTCCTTTATATTGTCTTGAACTCATCAAATGCAATTCTTTACAGTATAATTTATCTTATCATTGTTACTATTCAGTTATAATATGCACCTAGATACACACCTAGATACATACCTAGATACGCACAAACAAGATCTACAAACAAGAGACACTTAATTTGAATTGCTATTAAAACCCATTTTTATCAGTACTAAATATGTGTAATATAATTTTAGAAACTTTGCAATTTTTTTCCGATATATAAAAAATGAGTTAACTATTATATATATCTTAATAGAATGTAACAAATTCCTGTAATGATTATAATTAAATTGGTTTAACTAACTTTTAGGTAATTAACTTTTGGTTCAGTTGTTAGTTAAGATAACCAATAGTTAATGTAACCAATATGCAGCAACCAGTTTTGAAATAAATTACATTGCATGTAAACTGATCTGTGTTTATAAAATTAATTACACTTATAACAAAAAAACAAAAAACTTGATTTGATTATAAGAACCAGATTCCGATCCCTATATTTTTAAACAAACTATTGAATAAAAAATAAAATTTTTACTTTCTTCTGTCTTTTGTAGCAGACCACTTTAATCTTCTTGACATCTTTCGTTGCTCACGACCTTGTGAAAGAGTATTTTCAACTCTTTCACGCTCAGCTCTTCTACGTGCCCATGCATGAGAATCAACAAGTGTGGTTTGGTAGCGAAACCTTAAAAAACAAAAAGCCTCACTATTAAAGACTTTAGCAGACTGTAGTGTTTACTTCAGACTTAAAAGTGTTTGAAGTCAGCAAAAAAATCTGCGACCTTGTTTTTATGTTTTATAGTAAAACCTTTTTATCGAATTTTTTTGCTGATAAGATTAAGGTTTAATAATTTGCTGACCTTAATCTCTAAAAGATTAAAGTTGGAAAATTATTGCAGACATTATTTTCTCCTAATTCCAAGAGCTGGTATGTATATCAGGATATACACTCGTAGTCGTCCGACAGTACCAGACCATCGAATTTTAAAAAAGGCGACTAAAACTATATACCTTTAATGCAATTAAGATGCCCGAATGGGCGACTATTGATTTTCATCAGCACTTTTAAGTGATTTTTTTTTTTTTAATTTAAGAATTCTATAAAAAGAAAAGTAAATATCTAAAATAATAATAATAAATTAATAAAATAATATTTATTTTGAAAGTTAATGTCAAAGTTTGTTTTTTGTATTGTCTATTAATAATTAGAACATTAGAAAATTGTACAAGCGTTTAAACAAATTTAATAAAATACTTCCTAAATAAAAACTAAAAAGTTATATTGTTTAAACAAAAATATTTTATTTTTATTTTTTTACAAATTTTATTGATAGATTTAGACATAGAGTAATAGAACTAAATTTGCTTAAAAAAAATTTTTTGACAGGCCTTATTAAGAAGTGTATTGCAGCTTTTTTCATAAATGTCAAAAGCATTCAGTAAAGTAAAAAATTTTCTGTAAAATGTAAATGTCGAAAGCGTTCAGATGGGTGGAAATTTTTTTTTCCTGGTATATTTACATTATCTTTTAACATCGTTTATTTGTTCAGAATTTTTAGTGATTGTAAAATAGTTTCACAATTTTTTATTAAAATTTTTTTTTAATTGTCTCCTAATTCGTAAAATAAAACTCATTACATGAAATGTCTCTCCATCATAGATTATTATATATTATTATAAGGGAAAAGAAATTAAAAACTTTTTTTTCTTATAAAAAAGAAGTGCTTTTGTTCAAAAGAATTCTTTTCTCAAATGTATTTTTTGTTGCTTATTAATTCAATATTGTGTAAAGTTCTTTTGACTTATATGTCTTATAAGTTCTTTAGAAATATGTTTATGAACATAATTTATGTTTACAAATATCTTATTGGTAACTGATAAAATCTATCTATAAATTGTTTATATTCTTTATTAAAAATACTACATTAAATACATAAAAATTAAAATAAATAAACAAATTGTGATTAACAAACAAAAGATTATAGTAAGTATAAGATTGTTTTAAGAAATAAATTATAAGGAAATATAATCTTTTTCAAATACCAAACTTAAATTCAATTAATAAATTTTGTTAAAACTATTAATTGAATCATAATTGAGGTTTAAAATTAAACTTAATTACAACGTGATACTTTAAAATACTTTCATAATATCAATAGTTTTTAAGCTCCAGTAACAAATAAGATATTAATAATTACAACACATTAAAAGCCAAGGGTTTTGAAGTATTTTTGAATTGTTTTTTTATATTTGTCAATACTTTTTAAATAAAATAAGCACATTTTTTTAAATAAAATAAGTGCTCAATTCAAGTGAAAACCTAATATATTGGCACGAGCTTTATAAAATATAAAGTAGAAAAGTTAATGCTACCAATAGTTCACATTAATACTTTTATTTATGCATTCATTTCTAGTCTACATTAGGTTTTATAATGAAAAATGACTAGAATATGTGAGAAATCTGCTGAATGCGAAAAATTTTATAAAAAATAGTGTCAGGCAACTCAAAAAGTTGTCAGGCAACCAAAATTAACAAATTGGTTGCTTTCAGTTTTCCTTCTGGTAACCAATCAAAAGTCAGAGTGTTCACCCCAGAAACACTGTAAAGGTAAGCTACCACTGTAGCTTGAAAATATCAAAAAAATTTAAAAAAACCTCAACAAAAAAATCATCTTGCCAAGAATTGAAAATAATGATCCAAAATGCAACTGTCAAAATAAAACAGAATACCCCCTGAATGGTAAGTGGAAATCCAAAAACACTATATACAAATGCATCATCAGCTAGAAACCAACCTAGCAAAGTTTATACTGGATTAATGAAAGGTGAACGGTAAATCAGATATAACAACCGCAAATCATCATTCAGTGATGTTGAATACAAAAAGTCTAACACCCTATCAAACTACGAGTGGGATTTGGAAAACAAGTTTAACAAAACCCTTATATCAACTATATACTCAAATATTTCCAAAAGGTGCCCACTATGTCTATATGAGAAATGCTATTATATTGTATCCAAAACCTGAGGAATCGCTAAATAAAAGAACTGAAATTATATCAAAGTGCCGCCACAAAAATAAATTCTTATTAAAAACTGCAAAGCTCGTTACAAATTTAATAAACAACTAACAATAACTATATTACTCTACTTCATGTATCTATAAATTTCTCACATATACAGCTATTATATAATATTTCATAATATCATATATATTTTTATAAAATTTTAAATTTTATATTTTTTTAATATATAATGCACATTATTACATAAACAGATATTTTAAACAAGCATTAAAACATATAACTATTTCACAACTAAAAATAAACTAATAATAACATTAACCACTAAACAATTGTAACTGGTAACTGGTAAAAAAGTTTGTTAACAGATAAACCCAGGTAAATAAAACACTGGCTCTGTCTGCCCACAGCACTGTTGCAGCTAGTGCTCCAGCATCATACATTTGCTGCAACATTTCTGCAACATGCATAGACTTGTTGCAACATTGTTGTAACATGCACTTACAATATTGATGTTGATACTCCAACATGAACTACTATTATAACTAGTGTAAATAAATATTTACAAACTTCTATAAATTTCTGAATATTTAAACTTCTAAATTTCTATAAATTTCCATATCATTTTTTTTACTATATTAAATATATTTATTATATTAAATATTTTATTATATTAAATATTTTATTATATTAAATATTTTATTATATTAAATATTTTATTATATTAAATATTTTATTATATTTAATATTTTATTATATATAAATATATAATCATAAATATATAAACATAAATATTTTTTTTCAAACCCTTAAATTTTTTAACTTATTTGATTTTCTATTTTCAGTTAATAAATATTCTTTGGAGCTATTAACATGTTTACATGTTAAGTAAACACATTAATGAACAGAAATGTGTTTTTTGACATACTTCTCTTCCCCCCCCCCCCCATTAAATTCACCTCACTATAGTGACTATAGTTAAGGTGACTCAATATATTCATTTTTATTATTTTTATTTAGAAATTTTTAAAAAGCTTTTAAATTTCAACTTTTCAAAAAGATCAAAAATAAACCTTCTTCCATCATTTCCATTTTGAACTCGCTGCGTTTGCACTTGATCACTCAACTTTGATTCTTCAGGAAAAGTATACTTAAAATAAGCAAACTTGTATAACTCATATACTACAAAAACAAATCAAATTATATAAAAGATATTATAAATAGAAGTAATTACAAAAATAGTTAATAAGTTATTAACTTATTAAAACTATTCAATAAATTAATTAAAAAAACTACCTGTTGATATTCCAAATCACTATTAACAGAGTGGATAAGTGATTTATACTTAGTCTTACATAGCGGGCATGTACGAGATAATTCTGACCACTGTATAATGCAAATATGACAAAATGAATGTATTAACAGTTAACAAAAATATTGTAATCATAATATTTACAAGATAAATACAATAAACAAAATTAAAATTGTTTAAAAACAAATAAAATTGTTTTTATTAAAAAAATATATTCATTAAAAGAGCTTAAACAAATTTTTGAAAAAGATATGAAAGCACTCAAGCAGAAATGATCGATTTTCAAATGGACCAAGACAAACTGAACATATGCTGTCCTTCATATCTTCTCTTCCTGGCGACTTTGTTGTTTGACGACTAAGTTCTTCTTGTATAACTTTTTGCTTTGACCTTCTTTTGTTTTTAATAAGTGCTTTGTTCCCAAGAGAACTTGTCTTGTCCACAAAAGAACTGTCAGAGTCACTAGATAACTCAATAACTAAGTGGGTTTTTTTAGCAGGGGGAGTTATTTCTATAATAGAATGTTCAGCATCTGAGTCATATACCACATCATTGGACTTCTTGTAACCGCTTGGACCTGGTTCATTATTGTCCAAACAAAAATTAGAAACTAAGGAACTTGTTTTATTTGAATCAATTGCATGATTTTCACACATGTTTAAATCTTTATCTTCTGCAGATATATCATCACATCCTTTAACAGAATTCAAATCAGTGATGCATCTTGATTCTTGATTCTCTAAAATTTCACTTTGCTCTGAACATAATTTACTATCCTCTGAAAAATTATTTTTTGAAGTGGTATTATTATTATGAAAATCTATATCGTTGTTGTCAATTGAGCCAAAAGAATGTTCTACTACACTTAGCAAAGGAGTACAGTCAATAGGAAGTTGAAACAAATCATTAGATTTTTCTAGCGATTGAAGATCATCGAAATTGGATTTGGAATCTGTAATAGTCATTTTTACCTTACATAAATCTGTGTTATTTTTTAACAGTTCACCCTCATGATCTGAAACACATGACACCTTATCATCATTATCTGATAAGCACAATTCCTTGTCATCGTTATCTGATACACATAGAGAAATTTGGTCATCTTCATTTTGTGATACTAATATTTTGCTGATACTTAATTCTCTAACAAAAGTATCTCTCATACTATCATCTCCATTCTGATCTGATTCAATCTTACTTTGTTTCACAATACACTCAGCAGTATTTTGAATACTCTGTGTCAGTGATTTATCAACAGTTTTATCTCTGGTCTTGATTGTCTTTATGATCTTTGAAGAAGATTTTGGTTTCGTTATTTTTGTAACAGATTTGTGATCTTCAATCTTTTTAGACTTAAGATCTGTGATCTTTGTTGAAGGTTTTATTGGAGTTATACTTTCATCTTTGTTTTGAACATTTTGTTGCATAACCTAAATATATTTTAAAAATTTGTTAAATAAAATAAAACATTCTGGAAAAAATAATGATAACCAGGTCAGCTATCTACTTTACTAAAATTACAAATAAGTTGAACTTATTTAAAAAATTCAAAACATCTTGTGATTTTTGTAAAAAAAGTCAAAACAATCAGTAATCTCCTTTACTGTAATAATACATGTCATAGGTAAAAAGTGTCTCCCAAAACAATTATACTTCTCACAAGTATTATAATGAATAAAAATAACAATATATATATATATATATATATATATATATATATATATATATATATATATATATATATATATATATATATATATATATATATATATATATATATATATATTTATACATACATACAAGGCTCAATTTAATTTTTTATAAAGTCCCGGACAAAATGTTGGATCAAAACTTGTTTGCGTCAGAGTGTCCAATCAAATTTTTTTAATATAATTTTTACAGTTTTACGGAACCAAGTTATGCAATCAAAATCTTTGTCAAGTTAAGTTTATTTAATGTTAGTTATTTTAAATATTTTATTGCAGATTTCTGCATTTTCTTAATAAAATAGTTCCAATTTAATATTGCATGTTTTTTTTAGATAGACTTAAACTTCAGCATGCAAGTTCAAGTATATCTAATAACTATCTAGCTATAATTGACAACACTTTTTTTTATTTTTTACAACTTGACAACGGCTTTTTTGATGTCTTAACTATTTAATAGCAATAAAAAAAAATCGTTACGTTACAAATAATTTTTAATCGTTGATCTTTTAAAGTTTTTAATTTACACGAAGGCGTAAAATAAAAACTTTAAATAAAATAAAAACTTTCAAAAACTTTAAATAAAATCAAAATTTATAATTTAAAATAAATGCATTATGTGTAAATTAAATGTTATATTTAATTTTTTTTTAGTAGGTATGTATTTTTTATAATAAATTTAAACGTTTGAAACTATTTTTAAAATAGTTTCAAACATTTTAGTTAATCATAAAAAGTCTTTCTAAAAATCTTTTATTAAAAGACTATTATTTTCATGTTTTTTTTTTTTGTTGTTATTTTTATTTTTTCAAATAGTTGACTTTTAATCAAAGAATGAAATAACTAAAAATTACAATTTTAAAAAGACAACATTGTTTTTTTAAACATTTTTTTTTTTTTAAATTTTTGATAAAAATGTTTAAACAACTTTCAATTATTTAATTTCACTTTTCAATAATTTTAATAAAATTTGTTTATTCAATAGAAGTAATTTGTAAAAGAGTTTTTTGCGTAACTTTAATAAACGTTTCAAAAGATAAGTTTTTAAGTAATTTATTTCAAATGCAATTTAAAAAGTAATAAAAAGTAATTTTAAGTTTTTGAGTTTTATTTAAACGCTTTTTATTTAATTTTAATTTACTTTTAATTTTTATATATGAATCGCTAACTTGAAAAAGGGGACATGTCTTGCAAAAATTCACATAACATATTGCCTTTTTCAAGTTAGCGATTCATATATACTGAAGTATTTATTTTGTAGAATTTAATTCCCTTCGGTCAAAATGTCCGATTACTTTGTAAATAGATCGAACAATTTGAGGTTTTAGCATAAAATATATAGATATATATTTTATATATATATATATATATATATATATATATATAAAATATAATATATATTATATATATATATATATATATATATATATATATATATATATATATATATATATATATATTTATATATATATATATATATATATATATATATATATATATATATATATATATATATATATATACATATATATATATATATATATATATATATATATATATATATATAATATATATTTTTTATATACATATATATATATATATATATATATATATATATATATATATATATATAAATATATATAAATATATATATATATATATAAATATATATATATATATATTTATATATATATATATATAAATATATATATATATATATATATATATATATATATATATATATATATATATATATATATATATATATATATATATATATATATATATATATATATATAAGTGTTAAGTGGAATATATAACTTAACACTATATATATATATATATATATATATATATATATATATATATATATATATATATATATATATATATATATATATATATATATAAGTGTTAAGTGGAACTTGTCTGAGAGGGTTGTTATTTGTTAATATAGAAATTTCAACAATATTGCAATAGTCGTTTGCAGTAAAAAGTTTTGCTTGAGTTAAAATCCATTAGCCACTGCAAACGTCTAGTTGTTACAGAAGAGAAGTCAGATCAACTGCAATCAAAAAGTGAAGATTTTTTTGTCAACATAAGAGTATAAAGCTGTTGCTGTTAAAAACTGTAAAAGAAAAGAAATCAGATTGTCTGCTTGTTCTAAGCGATTAAAAAGTCTTTTTGTCGAGACAAGAGTGTAAAGTTGAATAGTCAGCTAATAGAACTTTAGACGTAAGATTGTCAGGAAGATTATTAATTTAAATAAAAAACAATACAGGAGCAAAGATAGAAACTCGCCGCACCCCTAAAGTTATTAGAAATGAAGAAGAGCGAAGGCTCTCAAAGATGAATTTAACAATGCAGTAAGAAAGAAATGATTTAATAATCTCAAAAACTTTATATAAAGAAACTAATGATAGAATAAAAACTAATCAGAGGATAGTTTAAGAGGTCAGAGAGGCTTGGACAGAATTGGTGTGCAATCGCACGCTTAAACTGACCACACTTATAATATTTTTTCTTAACAATTTGACCACGACGGTTTTGATGTTTTAACAATTTAAATGCCATTAAAAAAATTGTTGTTATAAATAACTTTTCTCTGTGATCTTTTCTTAAGTTTTTATTTTTTAAAATAAAAAAGTAATTATAGTGATTGTTTAAAATTAATGTACTTTGTGTAAACTAACAAATGTTATATTTAATTTTTTTTATGAAGGCATGTTTTACAATAAACTTATATATAATAATTTGTTTGAAACCATTTTACCATGTTTTTCTCAAAATCTTTTGAAAGATAATATTTTAAGTTAAATTTCTTTTAAACTTGTTAAACTCTTCAAATTGTCCGATCTATTTACAAAGTAATCGGACATTTTGACCGAAGGGAATTAAACTCTACAAAATAAATACTTGAGTATATATGAATCGCTAACTTGAAAAAGGCGACATGTTATGTGAATTTTTGCAAGACATGTCCCCTTTTTCAAGTTAGCGATTCATATATAAAAATTAAAAGTAAATTAAAATTAAATAAAAAGCGTTTAAATAAAACTCAAAAACTTAAAATTACTTTTTATTACTTTTTAAATTGCATTTGAAATAAATTACTTAAAATCTTTTGAAACGTTTATTAAAGTAACGCAAAAAACTCTTTTACAAATTACTTCTATTGATTTAACAAATTTTAACTTCTATTAAATTATTAATAAGTTGAATTAAATCTTCCGTTGCAATAGATTTAATTATTTTATTTTTTTTTCTATTTTTGTAAAGAAATGTTTAAACTTTTTTTTTAACTTAACTAACTTATCAGAGCATGAAATGAGCGGAGAAACGAGCTCAACTTGTTTCTCTGCAGCGCAGCAGCCTTGTTTGTCAAGGTTTGTGTTTTGGAGTTATAGAGTTAAGAGGGTTATAACCATAAATAAGTAGCCTCCTCTTCTGTAGTGGTCTTCTCGGCCTTGAGGAGGTGATTTAACAAATAATTGGTGGTAAAGGAACAAAAAGGACGTGAAGAAACAAACAAAACAAAAAGAATAAAAATTACTATGATAAATAGACTACAGTATTTTTTTTAACAATTTTTTTTCCAACTTTTTCAAAATAACTAATGTTCATACAATCTAAAAATAATATTTATAACACTTTTAAGTAATTTAAATAAAATTTGTTCATTAATTAAACAATCATTGGAAGTAATTTGTAAAAGCCTTTTGCTTTAAACATTACAAAAGATAAATTTTCAAGTAGTTTATTTTAAAAGCAAGTGAAAACTTAACAAAAAGTGATTTTTGTTTTGATTTTGAGTTTTTTGAGTTTCATTTTAGTGATTATAAATTTTCATATTTTGGAATGAGGCTTGACTTAAAACCGACAAGAAAGAATAAAAGCTTCCATACCTGCTTGGATCCAGGAGGTTAGATAAGAGGCACATTAATGCATTTATAATATGTGTATATATGGAAAAAAATATGTTTACTATTTATTTATATGTTGGCATACAATATTTGTATACATTTATATAAACTTTAGTATTTATATGGTGTAGTATTTGCTAAAAGAGAAGATGATCAGATGGATGAGTGGTTTGATTCTAGCAAGACAAGAAAAGGGGAAATAATCTTAAAAATCAGAGATAAGAAAAAACATTGTTTGAAACAATCTTTATCAGAAAAGATTTAAGTGCCTTAGGTATTAGCACATAAAGAGGTTGGAGCTTCAGGACAAAATGGTATAGGTAGAAGTAAGAAAACTTGGAGAGAGTACATTATATATGGTAAAACTTGGAGAGAGTGCATTACATATGAACAAGCTTTAGTTAAAAAAAGATGCACAATATTGTTTATATTATGTTTATAACAGCATAAGAGCATAGATCATCCGGGTTGTTTTTTAAAAATCCAGAAAATTGTTTGGGTAAAATTGCCAGAACATATTTTTCCTTATTTTCCTCTTAACTCAGTTGTTTTAATTTTTTTTTTTAATTTTAGTATGGGTGATGTATGAAAAAGTTAAAAACAAATATATTACAAAAATATATTCCAAAGCTTATATATGTATGGAAAACGCTTTGACTATCCGGAAAAAATTAAAAAATGATAAATTTTTACAAACTGAAAAATGATAAAATTCTTATAAACTTATGCAATTCTTATAAACTTTTCAAAAGATTTTTGAATAAGAGAATTAGAAGACTAAAATTCTCTTATTCAAATTTCTTTTTAAAATGAATTTCTTAAAACAGCTTGCCTGTTTATAGAATATATTTATTCTTGATATCGCGATAAACTGAAATACAGAGCAAATATTTTATTATAATAACCAAAGACAAACTAAACAAGCAAAAACCTAAGCTCCAGTGTAAATAAAATTATTAAAAAAACCCATTAAAGCAAAGTAAACACTAGAAAAAAAGAGTTAATTAACTTGTATCAATACTTAATGACCCTTAATGACTTATCTTTTACATTTCCTGATAGAATTTGTTTTTATATATTTTTTTTATTTTAAAACTTTATTTTTATACAAAGTGTACATACACTGAACTATAAAACTATAAATGCTGTGGAGTGTACATACATTGACTGATATACCCTTAAGCACAGTGGAGTGTTTTTATACATCAACTGATATTGCCATAGGCACATCAGATAGCAAAGTGAGACAAAATAAGGTCTTCTGGAACATGCTACCCAAATATGTAAGTATGTAAAAATTGGAATGAGTCATAAAGGATACAGGTATTTAATTAAATTTCAAAATTTCTTGATTTTTATTTATTTTTTTTTTACTTTTTTTTTCTAAAAATGTTAACATAAATAATATTTTTGGTTTAATACACACACAGTTGCTATTATTATTAATACATAGACAGTTGCTTCAAGTCAATCTGGGGAATTACATTTACTATTAAAAAAAAATGAATCTATACATACCTTGTTGTTTGCTTTTTTAAGCAAATCTTCAGTTTTCAACAATCTCTTTTGTAGTAATGACTTTAATGCAACTTGCCGAAGCTTTAAATCATCATTGCTATGTTTAATTGGTTCTTTACGCTCAATATTAGAAGCTTCAGTTTTTTTAGCACGAATTTTTGACGAATCTTTTGATATACTTTTTAGTGCCATTTCACGAAGTTCATTCTCACTTTCATTTTCCATTTCACTACTTATACTTTGTTCAATTCTATGAAAAGCTTTCCTAGATGCAGATTTTAAAGCATCAATACGAAGCCTTAAAACAGCTTCTTCATCTGAATTTAAAAAATTGCTTGTCATAACACTATTTATTTTTCTACTAAAAATCTAAAAAAATTATATCCTAATGTTAAACAATATTTTTTAATTATTTATTTTAATAATATTGTCTAACATTAGTATATATAAGATATTGTTTAAATGCCACTGAGCTGGATTTGAACAATTATAAAACACTTCTGTTCTGTGCAAATATAATTAAAATATAAAAAATTTTATAGGGATAATAAAGTTTAAAATACTACAATGATTTTTTTATTAGATCTCTTATTTTACACATTATATTGTACTTCAGTTTATATTTATGAACATTCTTGTGTTCAATAGACTGAACAACCTTTTACAACCTAGAATTCAGCTCTTACTTAATAATAACATGCAACTTAAATCAATACTAGACAGGAGGGGACATTTATTAGTTTTTAGAAATATTTCCCACCAATCCAAGTTTATTAGGACTAATGACTTTTTCAATGAACATAAGATATGTTCATTCAAAAGGTCATTAGTGACTTTTTCAATAAACATATATACTTTTCAATGAATATATATATATATATATATATATATATATATATATATATATATATATATATATATATATATATATATATATATATATATATATATATATATGTATATATATATGTATATATATATATATATATATATATATATATATATATATATATATATATATATATATATATATATATATATATATATATATATATATATATATACTCTTAATTGGTCGTCTTTGGGTTTTTACCATAAAATGTTAGCATTATGTTTTTTTTTTATTTTAAAGACCGGAAAGAAACTTTTTTTTTAAATTATTTGATAGACTGTCTGCCTAAACCAAACCCACAGTCAATGTTGCAGCACTCCGTCGCGAGTCAGCCTATTTGTCAGTTGATGCAGAAGCACTCTGTTACGAGTCAGTCTATTTGTCAGTTGATGTAGCCTCATTTTATAATAAATAATAAAAACATTCAAAATGTTTTTATTATTTTTTTAGAATGTTTTTAGAATGTTTTTAAAAACATTTAAATGTTTTTAAAAACATTCTAGTCTTTTAATTTGTGGTTTTTTGGTTTAATTACTTCCTGTATTTAAATTAATGCGCTTTGACATTATATATCCTTAATTTTCTGAAATTATGATAAAACATTTATTAAATTATGTTAAAAAATGTGCATTTGACAGCAAGCCACATAAGAAATAAATTTTTTTTTGATTTGATTTGTGTTCTGTAAAAAATACTCACCCCTCATTTTATTTTCATCTCTCTTTTGCACTCTCAGTCACATAAATAAATTTGATTGATGTATAAAGATGTACTTGATCAGCTAAAAACAGTTCTTCTTGTTTGATATATCCAACTTAATAAGCTTGTATATAGTGGTTGCTGCAACAGCATTTGTTAAAATTTTTTTTAACAGAGATTCTTTTTAATAAGATTCTTAGAAAATCTTGTAAAGTATCTGTAAGGTATCTTTATCATTTTAAGGTATCTTGAAGGTAAAAAACCATTGAAAAATCACTTTAAAATACCACCATATATTCTTTAAAACACTGATAACTCTAAAAACTCCAACTTTCAACTTTATGATTTACACTATACAGTGTTCATTTAGGAGTATTGCTTTGGCTAAGGCTTTCAACAAGGACCTTAACAACATTCTTTTGAATATTAATGGCATTTTTAGCATGCACTTTTTCCTCTATACAATTTGTAGAACTAAATCTATTTTTAACCCTGGGATTACGGGATTAAGAAATTTGTCCCCAGGAAATCCAGGGAATTGAAAAAATGCAGAAAGTGAAGCATAAGAAGAATTAACATTTTAAGTCAATAAAAATGATTAAATTAATGATGATATAACTAAAATATTTTATTCATCAATGAACCTAATTAATTTAAATTATAAAACAATACTTTAAAATGATAACACAGTATAAATAAAAATAATAACTAAAAATAATATAAACATGCATGAATAATCATGAGTTACATTTATTTGTGAAATTACTACCCTAAAAAAACAAGCAGTCAATAATTTGATTGCTTAATCATATTTAATTTTTTTATCATAAAAGCCCAGCAACTGAGAATGTTTGTTTTGACTCCACACTTATTGGCCAATAGTAGATAATATATAATCATGCTTTTCAAAGGTGATCACATCTTGAGCTATCACTTTTAAATAACAGCATTTCTTTTTGAATTTTAAAAGTTATACTTTCTACCCTTATAGGTTGTATTTCTATTGCTGCTAGTCCTTTTTCCATAACTTCATTTAATTATTCACTAATTGTTTTGACATCATCACATTTGTGTCTTTCTTGGCTGGTTCAACTGAACACAACTATCACTACTCAAATCTGCTGCTGTTATTATATCTGCCAAGTTTAAACACTTTATCAGGCTTATCATTATTTTTTTTATTCGGGTACTAGTATTTGGCACAAAAACTTCTGGGATTTTTATGAAGTAAACTGACCATAAAAATATGCTAAGCTCCAAACAGTGTTCTCTTCTCTTTAATTTAGTGACTCAAAGCATCATACAATTGTTTTCCAATTGTAGACTATTGTTTTCTTTTTTTGTCAACATAAACTCTAATGCAATGTCAGAGAAAATTAAATTTTTGTCTCGTCAACAAAGTGCTACCAAAGTTGCTTTAACTGGAGTCAAAAGTACTACTAAATCAGATATCATTCTACATTCATTTTCATTTATTTTAATTGAATCATCTATGTATGAATTCTATTCTAAATCTAGAAGTGCCTTTTTAACATAATAACTTTTTTATCTTTAACTTCACAAATTGGTCTAGCATAAGCAACAAGCTGCTCCATCGAGTTTTGCAATCCATGATTAAATGGATGACCTTTGCAATCTCAATTTTTACGTATTTTTGTAAAAAAATTTCATTTTTATTAGGGGACTTTTTAAACATTTTTACAATTTTCTTTACTTTTGTTATAAAGGTCCAATAATTTGGTGCTTAATTTTAACTTCAGATCTTTTATTAGTTAACGAAGTATAATTTTAATCTCGAATATAACCTTTCTCTTCAGAATACAATTTCTACTTTAAATAACGATAACAATAGTTTATTTAATTAACAATAACTATAGTTTATTTAATTATTTAACCTTATGAATTTTAATAACTTCATGAAATAAATGGATGTTAAGCTTGTAATTTAATAAACCTTTTGATAAATTCATTAGTTAAACCAATGTTAAAAAAAATTTTGTAAAATATACACACATTTGTAATTAAATTAAGTGGATATTAAAATTGAATTGAAATCACACACACATTGAGAAAAATTAGAATAAATTGGAAAATTTAAAATAAAAGGTATACCTTCTATTAAAAATCCCATCAGCAAGAGCAAAAATTTTATTTATTTTTAATAATATATTACTTTTAATATTTTACTTTACATACATTATTTATATTTAATTGCACATATTTTGCAGATAATCAATAATCATTTTAGTTGGTATTTTTGATAATTTTTTTTTTTTTTTTTTTATTTGCATTCACTCCCAACAAGGCTGCAAGCAACCACTATCAAGTTGGGAGTTACTAGGAAAAAAAAGAACAGAGTTATAGAGCAAGGAAACAGTTGACAGAAGACTTGAAAAGTTGAAGGTTGTATGAGTCAGGAAATCATGAAGATGGGAGAGAGTTCCAAAGGATTGAAGTGCAGGGAAAAAAACTAGATGAATAAAAGTTTTTAGAACATGCAGGGACAGATACAGTAAACGAATGAGACTTAGCTGAATGACAAGTAAAACCAGAATGAATTTTAGTTGATGGAACTAGAGATGATAACTCCTTTGAGCAGTGATAGTATTTGTAGAAAAGAGAAAGAGATGCAACTTTATGACAATGGGAAAGAGGTTCAAGCTTAGCAGATAGTCCAGGTCCAACAACATTTACAATGCGTTTTTGGACCTTGTCAAGAAGAGAAAGTGAATCGTTAGAAGAACCGGCCCAAATATGACAACAGTATTCCATACAGGGACGAATAAGAGATTTGTAGAGGTAGAGAATAGAATCAGAAGTAAGGAAATGGCGAGCACGATAAAGAGAAGCAACCTTAGCAGAAGCTAATTTAGCAATCGATTGTATATATGGTTTCAATGAAAGGTCAGTAGTAAGCGATAATCCAAGAAGACGTAAAGAGGACGACTCAGTAAGAGGATTGCCATTCATTAATATAGGAATGTTGACCATATTACAGTAGTTGTTTGCAGTAAGCAACTGGGTTTTTTTAGAGTTGAAATTCACAAGCCACTGTGAACCCCAATCTATTACTGAAGTGAGATCGGATTCAAGATCAGCTGCTTGTTCTAGGCGATCGAAAAGAGAAGACTTTTTGTCAAGACAGGAGTATAAAGTTGAGTCATCAGCAAAAAGAGCTATTTTAGATGAAAGGTTGTCAGGAAGATCGTTTATGTAGATAAGAAACAAAACAGGGCCCAGGATGGAACCTTGGGGAACCCCAGAAGTTAATGGAAATAAAGAAGAGTGTTGGCCTTCAAGGATGACTTTAATAAACCAGTTAGAAAAAAATGATTTGATAATCTCAAAAACTTTCCCAGAAACACCATATGAAGCAAGCTTATGGAGAAGACCAGCATGCCAAACTTTGTTGAAAGCTTTAGATATGTCGAGAGCAACCCCCCTAGCCTCACCGCCTCCATCTAATGCACGATAAAATCTTTCAGTTACAGCAGTTAGCAAGTCGGCCGTAGAGCGAGAGGATTGGAAACTGTATTGATTGTCTGACAGTAGTTTATTTGACTCAAGATGAGAGGAATTTGTTGATCAAAGACTCAAAGACCTTGCTAATAACAGAAAGAAGACTGATCGGACGATAATTGGAGGGGTCAGAATTTTCTCCAGAGTTTTTTGAATATTGGAACCACAGATGCCATTTTCCAACAAGCAGGAAAACAAGACTCAGTCAAACACTTGTTAAATAGTTTAGAGAATTGAAGAAAGTTCTGGAGAACAGT